TTTTGTTTACAACTGCATTTTTTCTGGCCTTTTTCGGTTTCATGAGAGTTGGCGAGATGGTTTACACTGACCATCTTCATTTGGAACGATCTCAGATGTCCTAGGATTTCAGATGTCACAGTCCAGAGGACATTTTTAGAAGTAACTGAGATCGTCAAAGACAGATCAGTTGCTCGCTCCACATCAAAGGTAATGCAAGTGAAATATGCCCACTTAGAGCAATGAAGCAATACCTTGCACTTCGTCCAGCGGGTTTGTTTTTTCCGTTTTTGCCATGGGAACTGTCAGCCTTTAACAAGATACCAGTTTGGAGCTATGGTTTCCAACTACATCAGATATATGGGACTCAACCGATGTAAGTTCAAATCACACTCATTGGAGCAGCCACTTCTGCCGCCAACATGGGCGTGTCATCGGAGACAATACAGTTGTGGGGTCGATGGAAGTCTAAGGCATACTCAACTTTCATTAGACTCTAAACTTTGGATGCACAGTCAATAACTTCAGGCAATTTGATATTTGTAAATAATTCTTCTTCTTCCAGATGTATGGATAATAGGCTCCTCATTCATTTATTTGTCTCATCGTCAATTATTGAGGTTGAAACTGGGAAACAATCTAGGGTTACGATTTCACTGGTTTGGAAAGCAGGGCATGAAGTGGTCAGAACTCTTGTATGTCGTCCAGACACAATTAGGCCGTATACCTTCCCCAAGTCTAATACTCTTGCATGTGGGATCAAATGATCTTGTTGACCAGAATATTGGTTCCCTTGTTTGGCATGTTACTGATGGCATCTACTACCTGACTCAACTGCAGCCAAGGACAGTTCTTGTTTGGTCAGAAGTGCTACCACGGTTATACTGGTATGGAGTTGTCAATCCAAAGGCGATAGAGAGGGCTCGACGTCGACTGAACCGAGCTGGGTTCAAAGCAGTGTTGCATTGGGGTGGCCGCTGTATTTATAACAAGCTTACCATGTCTGAAACAGGATTTTTCCGCCATGATGGCGTACATATTTCCGAAGTGGGAAAGCATTGTTTGTGAACACTTTACAAGAGGCTTTTCAGCACTTCATGGCAGATACTGAAGTAAAAAGTAAGGTATTTGGGGCTAATTAATCTCGGCGGAACACTTTTGGGCTGGAAGTAGTGATTTTGGTGTTTTGGGGGTATTTGAGGAATACCCTCTAGGCCCTATTGTATAATGGTGGTTGTAGAGCCTACAGCAGACTCCCTATGCGCTTTTCCCTGGGGGTCCCATCATTTGGCTCTGTATGGTTTGTACTCTCGGAGCCGCGTTTGCTGTTCTGTCCGGGCACCTTTGGGTTGACAGTCAGCCGTGTTTAGCGTTTCCCAGCCCAGGAGTGTTCTCCTACTCTTCCTGGTTTAATAGTGCAAGGGAAGCTACTCTTCCTGGTTTAATAGTGCAAGGCACCTTATCAGTGTATTATTCAGGAATTGTTCTTCACATGCTGTAAACAAAGGGAAGTAACCCATGTTGCAGCTGAATTTAGTTGCTACATCCTCTTTTCATCCACACAACCACACCGGTAACACGTTTTTTCCCTCCCATCCCACCCATCACTTCTCATGTCAAACGTATATATCTGTATAACATTTCCTCAGTTGATAGTTAATCTAATTTCAAGTATTTGTATGTATCAGGAACATGTACTGCTGCTTGTTTTCTTTTATATTGTAGTTGTGGCAAGTTGCAGCCGTGTTTAGCGTTTCCCAGCCCAAGAGTGTTCCCCAATCCTTGTACTTTTCTGTATATAAATCTGTGGTCTATTGTTTAAAATACTTTTCCATGAGGATAAGTAAAGCAATGACGTTCACCACAATAATAACTAACGCCACAAAAACGAAAATTATAAATGTTTCTTCTAACGTAAGTGTTTCCGCCATTTAAAAAACGTGTTACCGGTGTGGTTGTGTGGATGAAAAGAGGATGTAGCAACTAAATTCAGCTGCAACGTGGGTTACTTCCCTTTGTTTAGAGCATGTGAAGAACAATTCCTGAATAATACACTGATAAGGTGCCTTGCACTAATAAACCAGGAAGAGTAGCCTCCCTTGCACTAGTAAACCAGGAAAAATAGCTTCCCTTTGACCGTGGAATACAAATGCAGAGGGAGAAAGCCCCTTGAATTGGAATAATGTAAGATTACCAAAATAATGCATTTTATTAATTAATAATAAAATTGATTATTTCGCCATATAGCGACAGCACTGTTTCAAAGGTGATTGATGCCAAATATATTTTCCAAGACACGTTTCACATATTAGATTAAATTCAAAATAATGACAAGGTTTTGATGAGCAAAAATAAGTCCAGTTGAAAAAAAACACTGGGTGAATTATTTCAGTTTATTATGGGCCCTATATATCAGTGTCTGCTAGCAAAGTAATTGTGTGTACAATTACTCGCCCCGGATACTTTGCATACAAATGTTTGTACATGTAAGCACTTTCGTAGCAAAACTTTGGAAGGATATTTATGTTAGCATTCACGGTTCACCGTGATATACATTCATCGTGAATTAATTTTCTTATAATTTAGTGAGTGAGTTGAGTTTGGTTTTACGCATCTTTTAGCAATATTCCAGCAATATCACGGCGGGAGACACCAGAAATGGGCTTCACACATTGTACCCATGTCGGGAATCGAACCCGGGTCTTCGGCGTGACGAGCGAACGCTTTAATCACTAGGCTACCCGACCGCCCCTCTTATAATTGAAATTTGTTTTGTTGTGACACAACTTAACTGTGTTTGTTCAATTTATTGTTAATGTGGGGATTATTTTAGTTTATTTAAGTGGAATGGCGATGTCTTACAATAAAACTAGCTTCCTCAGATAGTTATTTCTGCTACAAGGCTACTGATTAGGGCCGTATGTAGAGGTAGAAAGTGTGCGACACAATGAGGATTAAATTATGGAAAGTATATTATATCTGTGTATGGCCTTAACATTATTATTTACAGATTTAATTCACACGTTAATTTATTATTTCGAGCAATATTCCTCTCAGTCTCATTAACATCATCATGATCCTACTTGCCAACTGTTGCGACACAAACGGCGGTGCATGTCCATAACCCATTTGACTTATTTACAGGTGTGAATACTTGAGATAAATGACGGCAGAAACTACGAAGAAAAATATGGCAGAGACAATTGGCAACACTTTGTCTCCTAACCTAAACTTATGGGGAGAAGGGAAATAAGAGCCTTTTCACCTTTATGACTGAAAGCAGTTCAGTAAGTAAAATATAGCAATGACTACTATCATTACTGAGAAGACATCTTCATGATTATTATGCTTATGTCCCAATATGTTACGAAAAGTTGTTTTGACTCATTTGTGAAGTTCATAACTTTTAATTACATGAATCAGTTTGAGAAAGTTTGCCAAACGAATGACTTCATATGCACAGAGACATGTTTGTGATTTATGCCCTCACAGAAGCTGTTAGGAGGAACCCCGCAGCTGTGGTCTCAAAAGCCACAAACAAGGACATAAAGACCTGTGTGAAATAACGGCTTAAAGGAGGAATGGCACAAGGAATAGGTTGTGAAAAACATTCATGTGGGTGAGGAGGGGCGGGGTTGGGGTCGCCAAATGTAATGAACAATCCCCACATGCAACGTTGCATGCTTATCTCAGGGGTATCTCACACAAAGCTCCAAACTTATGACCAAGCTTGATATTCTTGAAAATACTGCTTTCGGTCGGAAAACTTTAGTTTTCTCGAAAACATTCAGGCCATATAAATGAAATGCTTATCTGAAAGAAATATGTCCAATCTGATTTCAAAAACTAGAATTCTTTTATGACATAGTGATTAATTATACGGGGACGGGGAACTCGGGTACTCGGGTCGGGTGGTTCCTGAGTAGGACTCGGATACCCACAGTACTACCCGGACCCGTGGTTAGTCACGTGATATATTGTTTAAGGGCAAATAATTATCTAGAACTTCCACTGTTACACTATAAGTGACATAATTTCTCTCTGACTCTGCACGCATTCCTTCTGAATTTCTATGTTTGGATAGAGGTAAAACATCCGTGAACTTCAGTATATGCATGATTAGATCGTTTTATACGAGTATCTGAATACATTTTGCCAGGGCTACGGTCAAACTATTCCCAATTGGACATTTGTACCTATCTCTTGAGACCAACAGCGGGCACCCGGGTAGGGTCGGGTAATAGGGGAGTGGGTACCCGGGTAGTAAATTTGGTCTTGCCCCAGCCCTAATAGTGATTTAACTGTTTTCTTGTAAATGATGTATTTATGTGCATTATTCTATTCTGCTTTCTTGGTTTCTGTGTGTATGAATATTAATAACAATTGCATTAGGGTACATAAAGTACAGTAAGCATTTTGATTGTTTTGTACCGTGAGATATATATAACTTAAGGTTGTTTTTCTTGGTTTTCAATGTCTTGTGTAAGTATTTACTATGATAAAAAATGAGTATCTTCTTAAAAGCTGTTTCGTTATTTTATTTTTTCTTTCTACTAACCTGTGAAGATCTGGGTTAGAATTGGTCTTCAGCAATCCTTGCTTGCCATATTGGAGGCAAGAGGAAAGAGGCAACTTCCGGGATTTGTGGTCTGGCTCGCTGACTCAGATGATGCATGTCATCGTATCCAAATAGTGTACATCGATGCTTATGATAACAATCACTGGATTGTCTTGTCCAGATTCGATTATTTACAGACCCATGTAATGAGATGACCTCAGATCCTTGTTTTGCGGAAGCGAGAAGTAAGATCTGATATTCATGAGATTGTCTCTAACGAAAAGCATGTATTTAAAGACCAATTCCAAAGCGGGTCTGCGCGGAGTTGAACGTGAACTTGAAAAGGACATTAGGAAGTACCCATGATTCGGTATTCCGGGAAAGCGACCAAACTGACAGTTCCACTGTGAACATAATTATAATGAGTTTTACTGTAGGAGGAAAATATGACAAATATTGCATGTTGCTGTGTCTGAAATTTCAATACCGAAACAAGATTCATCACATCGGAAGGTATCTTACTCAACAGTTACTAATGTAAGTGTTAAGATTCTGAATCGCTGTCAGTTTCATATTGCAAACGTCGGTACAGTTGAAAGTGGTGTGGAGAGAATCCGCCTTGGATGGAAGGAGGGTAGCAAAAACCAGAATCTGAAAGAACAAAATCACCAGCCATATAATTCAGCTGAATACACTTGTATTATCAAACGTCCCTTATGTTAAAGATTTCTTTGCATAAAGATCAGAAATAAGTGCTTGTATAAAAATCATGACTCATTCACGAACATACTCCAATATATGATAACTTGGAGAATGCTATTCTGAGGCATACATATAACCTGCTTGTTTTCAAAGCAATAGCTTTGCATATAAAATCGGCATGCATACATTATATATAGGGGTCTCGTAAATTGAATGAAAAAACCTGATAGTAATAAATTGTAAGTGCCACAGCAATGGGGATATCAAGGATGTTACGTTGGAAGTTATTCATAACTAAAGCGACAAAACCCTTTCCATATCCAGTAGAAATCCCTGCATAAAGCAGAGTCGATTGTGCAATTCCGACTATATCCTGAGCATGTGTTTATGAATCACCATCAAATAGTAATGATAATAGGTTTTCGCGAAAAAGTGAGCGTATCCTGCCACACAGGTAAGACCTGTCACAAACACGTGCAAAGTCAAGTCAATTGTTCACCTGAACCTTGTCCGCGGCAACTATGGTACTAGTCAAACTAGGGAATTGCATCAGACATAATTTTTTTCACTGATGCTTCAAATTTGGAAATGTCCTCTACATGTCTACCATAAGACTTTCTGAAATATTTACTGGGGCCTTGAATGTTGTAACCTTGATCAAACAACTTCTAAGCAAGAGTCGTATGACGTTCTTTGAAATCTTAGTAGAAAGCATTCTCCATTGTATCTCAAAAGGTGTGAAATGTAAAACACCCAAGGCTGGAGCTGCCGGAACATTGCTCGACATGAAGGGAAAGTTGACTCTTGGAAAGTTGAAGTCATCCCTCTTGTCTACAGTCTTGTGGAGAGTGTTTTGTCACTCTGTATCTTTATGCATAGATCTAAATGAGAAATCTCTTCAAAAAGCAGAATCGACTGTACGATTCCAAATGTCATTAAGATCTGTTAATGAATCACAAATAGTGTTGATACCAAGTTTTCGCGAAAAGGTGAGCGCATCCTGCACCGCCGAGGGCACAAACACATGCAAAGGGAAGACAATTGTTCACCTGAAGAAACACGGGAACATGTGATACCAGTCCAAATGAGGAATGGCATCGGACATACTTTTTGTCGCTGATCCATCACATCAGATTTGGAAATGTCTTCCACATGTGTATCATAAAAGTCTTGAATGTTGACACCTGAATGTTGTGACATTGATCAACAGTAGGTAGAAAGAGAACTCGATTGTACCTCAAATGTTGTGAAATGTAGACACCAAGGTCTGGAGCTGCAGAAATATTGCTCGAGATGAAGGGAATGTTAAAGTCATCAATTTCGCCATACGGCCTTGTTGAGAGTGTTTTGTCAAAAACATCACGTCTACAACATGCATGGTTGGAGGCAAGATCAAAGCCGCTCCCCAGCGTTTTATAAGGCAAAAGACAGTATCGCCCGTTTCGCAGTGAACCATCACCCCAACCTATCGGTACGGGTTATGAAATCGGTGCGCAAATAACTGTGTCCAGTCAACCGCGGTGTCAGTGTTGACTGAGTTTGTGATGGATGGGGAAAAGGTCATCGTTTCAAAATCGTATATTTTTGTTATTAACTGTCCTCTTATTTGCTGATATTACCGTCAGTAAGTCAAGTAACTGGAAGATCCACTTACTGTTACATTCCTTATACAGGCTACATGGTCCTGTTTGTGGACATATTACTAGAAACATGTGTAAGACATCTGTTGTGTATAAGATGATGGTTGGGCCCTGAAATGTTATAATGCTAGATCATGAGGGCGAAACATTTAAGTGTTTTATGATACTCGAGGATGGGGACACTGGCTGGGTTACACCAAAACATGCGGTTTGAAATCAGTCACTATCATAAGAAATTAGGTTCTTTAAACAACATAATAATGCATAAATAACTGTATAGACGGTAACGGTGAATCAAACTGAATCAACAGCTTTCCTGTGCACATGCGGTATCCAAGAATACGATATTACATAGACACTACAAATTCGTTTATATTTATTTGAGTAAGCATACTATGGTAGATATAGTAACTTGAAACGTTACAAACGTTCTGCGTAGTCCCCATTAGTTTCTGTGGAGGCTTTTGCATTGAAGTGTCAGTAACAAAAGAAATAAATGTTTTAAATAATTCAACACATTTATATCAACAAAAAGCTGTTTAATAAGTCCATAGATAATGCTTTGTTGCACGTTCATTTTTTGTTTCTATTTTTACATTATATACTGTAACATAGTTAGAGGAGGTTTTGGAAATGGGATTCCTCCAGACAAGTACTAAAGTAACAACTGTTGTTTATTAAACGGGGAGGGTTTTTAAAAAAACAAAAAACATTGACAACTAATTTCTTCTCTCACGTTCGAATTCACTTCAGTTCCTAGTTTTTCAGTTCTTTGAAACTGTTAAGAATAACGTTAACATGATCACACGGTAACGCGCCTGCAAGATCTGTCATATCAATCACTAGTTTGATGCTTTCGTCATGTTCAGTCATTTCCAACATCCTCCACTAACTTTTAGAAGCAGTTAGCAAACCATTTGCATTCTATCTTTCAAAACGAAATGTTTAACATACACTTTGTGAGATGTGTATGCAACCCATACAATAAATTAATGTTAATTCATAAATATATTGATGGAAGTGGGGAATTGACACCTCTCCACACAGACACTTCGCCTATTACATTCGAGATGACAAAGGCATTGAATTAAAAAAAGATATTTGTTTGTTCATTTCAAAACCATAATGAAATTTTAAACATTGCGTGGGATCGTACCGACGTTTATGTTCATAAAGAAAGAACGCGGGTATTTCTTTGATATAAATAATTAAACCCTGACAAAGAGCCAACGCGCAAAAACAACCAACTACACCTGTTTCGAAATGAAACAGGCGGTTGAATGTGTAGAGATGTCGTGGCTACACAACTTGATGCACATGGTGAACAAGTTCATGTTGATAGGGGGTTTCAGCTATATGAATTTTGAGGGAATTGTTCTTTGGAAATAATACACGTTTGAAATACTACAGTATTGGTAAAGAAACTGAATTGAAATGGAAATCGACATATATTTATCTGTTAACGAGTTAACCATGTTTTCTAAATGCCATTCTGTACCATCGATTATTCGAATTATATTGTTTTGTAGTGCTTTAAATTTGACGTGCGATATGCTACTATCGTTTGAATGTATCTAAATGTTACCGAGTGCAAATGTGTTGACATCTGTCACACTGGCAAACGTATTTACATTTATCTTCACACGCAGGTCTTTATGTATAAATATTGATATAGTTTAATTCTGAAATGTTGTATTGCACTTGTATAAGAAACACTTTCTCCAGGAAAAGAAATCAAGCATTAACAAGCCTGACACACAGTTATATGAATCCCCTACCAGGGATATCATTGTTATTGCAACATGCAACATATATTACTGAGTTGCCTCAATCATTCTATCCTCCAGACAAACAATCTCGATCATACATGTATATTCTTAAAGTGATCAGTCTCTTCATATTCAATACAGGCCAGTTTGTAATTAAAACATGACAGACAACCCTTGCACCTCTCTGTGAATGTGTAGCTTGTGTGAGAGCGTGTCACTTGTCATAACCAAAAAGGTTTTTTTGTCACCAGGGACCCCCATTGGCGGAGAGGCCAATCTAATGTTACACCTGCTCGAGCATCTAGTAATACTACACACATACACTGGTCAATATTCATGCCTGTCATCTAACTTGTTTGTCAATACAATAGTACTAAGACCTAGAGAATAGATTATGAAGTGGCAAGCGTTTGCGTCTGTATGAAAAAAGAGCTTAATATCTCTGCCCATAACTCTCAACTATGGCCAGACTCCTCGATAAACGGTGAGATTGTGATAACCGTTACACCTGACATATTTGTTTGAATGGCACGTCTGACAACAAGTAGTGAACTTTTATACAGCAATGATCTGGGTACGATTGTCTGTGGTAGAGAATCATTCATGCACAGCACACACTTGAAAATGCGTTAAGATGATGTGTCATTCCGTAATCAGTAAGATGTTCTAGTATAAGCATATACACTTAAAAATAGACAGAAGTTACCTATGATTACGATCGAGAGATGAAAAAACGCAGGTCAGTTTGGTAGTATTACCTTGGTTACAGTTAATAAATAATTATAAGCTTACATTTTTTAACATTTTTTTCATAAGATGAAAGGAATATTGGTGCAGAAACCGACCATCAATGAACACTATAACCGAGCTTCAATCGCGTTACTTAATTCAACTCAAAAGTAACACTATATACGATATCAGGAATTCACTTATTGATTCAAAAGAATGAATTTATATCACAAATTTGATTTTATGATATTATGTTATATTTATTGACATAGCAAAATCGATTTTTAGGTATGCGTAAAAAATATATATCAAAAAGTGTATTTTAGAATGTATAAAACAATCGAATTTGTGATATTCTAAAAATCAAATGTAGATTTTCATATCACAAATTGTGAGAATTACATTCTCTAGAGTGTTTTGTCAATGGGTTCCAGCATACAGGTAGATATTTTATTTGCATATCTCTTACTCGACTATGTGAGTGTTTATTGCTCAACATTTGGTGTTTTTCAGGGTGTCCTTCTCGCTAAAATGACGACCTCATGAATTATTCATGATGGTATTATATCATTAGCCTCTGACTCCATGAGCTTAAGCCCATTTTTGAATGGTTTGTGTAGATGGGTAGACTGTAGTAACATTTACGTACATAGTCATATTCAGACGATGTCTGTGCATGTCTGTAATGGCAAACTTCTTCTTCTCTCATGTTACCAATTACAATTATTGCTTGTAAGCTCAACTCAATTGACAATTACTAGAAAACACATGATTGTAAAGTATTAATGTAATATATATTGTAAATGCCACA